AATGAAATAAAAGCTAGATACATTTCATACATTGTAAATCCATAGATCTTCCACGTTGCTTCATAGGGAGAAATCCATCTACCAGACTAAAATTTTTGAATTTCATCTATACAATCGAAATCAATATCATTGTTTACAGAGAGATTCACTTTGTCATGTCTTTTGTAAACATATTTGTAAAAATATTTAGTAGTTTTATTGTTGAACATATTTCTGCATTAATATGACAGACATATTTAGCTAAAAGATAAGAATTATAAGGTACAACCCACCTGTTATCAAGGAAGTTTTTTCTAACTTTAACTTTCTTGCCATCATTACATTTTCTATATTTTGGATAAGAAGTTTCATCCAAAAAAGTGTGTATTGTACTTATATGGATAATGACTTCTACATGTTATGCCATTCTGCATGCACATATTATTTGGATTTAAAGAACCACAAGGACCATGCATCACGTGTTTAAAGACAGTAGAATGCAAATAAGGATACTCTGCACTATCTAGGATTTCAGCAAATACGATTCTATTCACACTTTCAGGGGAAATAATTTTGGAACCTGATTTAAGTATAATTAGAAAGTGACCATGTGGTAAACCTCTTTTTTGGAATATATAGTTCCAACAAATGAAGATGATAAAATAATCCTCCTACTTACGTTTGACCATCTTGTTTCATCATTTTGTACACTATCAACACTATGTACTCCCGTCTGGTTGTTAGGGAAGTAATATAATTTGGAAGATTCAACATGTCAACTACATATTGTTGGAAAATTCGACCAGCATATAACAAGATCGAGTTCTCTAACGACCTTACCCATATTTTATAGCAATAATACTCACGACAGAAGACTTGGTATCATTTTTGCTTCTTCTGCAAGACTGAACATGCATTAAAGAAATTAAATCGGAGTGAACATGCATTAGAAATTAAATGTGACTAAAAATTAAAGTAATTGAAAATCTTGAAATAAAGCAATAACTCATTTTCAAACTTGTCATTTCATTTGTTCAATAATTCTTGTGAAGAATGAGCATAATGTGCATCAATCAACGGTTCTATATAAGAAGTATCATCATGTAGTTCAGTAACACTTTGAATACCCTGATGCCAACCATGCTCACCATTGGGAAATAACAGAGGGTACTGTAGAGGGTCATAACATCCCAAATAATAATGTATTTTGTGTTTACTACCAAAATGAACATAAATAGATAAATCACGGGTACCAACATTTTCTGATGGTCCATCATCTACCCAAATAGCAGCAATTTGTGATGTTTTTGGAGCATTATAAATTCTTTGATCCATATTTAAAGTGGATATAATTTTTATACGACAACTTTGTAAATCAGGAGTATTAGTCAAACATCGAAAGAATTTTCCGTAAGGATTATTCACTAAGAACCGAACTAATTTCTCATTAATTGATTCAGATAATTGATCTGATACATTTAATTGATTATGTATCTCATTTTCAGTGTCTCAAAAATAAAGTTGTAAATAAGAAGGCTTAGAATCTATTGGAAGAAGTTCATTTCAGATAATGAGATATATCCGTCTCTGAATTCTAAAAGTATATATTCATTTGTTCCTTCAGCATAAGTCTTTATCATTGACATCAAATGAAGTAAATGAAAGATTACAATTGTGATTTTGGATATAAGTCCTAAATTCAACTGATTCATCTGATGGGGGAAGTAAATAAATCATACAAATCTGGAGATACATCATTCATTTTTAGTTGAATGGTTCCGCTAGAATAATAGAAACCTTTACTTTTTCTTCCAAACTTCTTTGCTCCATAGAAATCACAAACTGTTGCCAGAGGTAAAAAATAACACTGCATTGGAATTTGTTGCAAAATGTCTACATTTGAAGTATTTTCTTTGGGTGAGACAGCAACACCTAACAAACAAATATGCAATTTATAAATTTATTGCGAGACAACAACATACAAAAATAAAATGAAAGGATAGGTTAACTCTTTTTGCTTCTTCATGAATACTCCTAGATACCTCAGATTCACAAACATAGACGGGATCACCTAAAGAAGCCAAATATAAGAAGGATTAAATCGAAGTGCATAGATTCTGCAGAAACATGAAAAGAAACTAAATTATAGGTTCTAGGATTAAGTAGCACTATTAGACAATTTTGTACAAACACCTCCATGTTTTTTTTTTCTCTCATTTGTAGATCTCTATAATGTTGAAATCTTCGGGCTCTTATCTGTAGTTCTAGCCTACGTATTTTTCACAATTCTCATTCCTGGGCATATAGTTTTCAATGCCGTGAATTTTGAGATTGCTTTGATTTAGCATAAATCTCACAGCTCTGAGCACTATCATTACCAGAATCGATAATACAAATAACTAAATAGAAGTCAACATCCCAAAAAACAAATTGTTAAAAATAAAATTGAAAATTATGGTTTCATCAAGTATTAATTCTTTTCAAGCACCCCTACATGTAATACCCCCCAAAAAAAAATTCTTCAAATATATTATGAGGCATAAAATGTATGAAATTAAATTTTAGTATTATTTTGGATATCTATTAAATTATCTGATATGAAAGTATTTAAATAAGTTTAGGATTTTATCATACTTGAAGATAAGAGTTTTAATGAAATTAGAATTTAATATTTGAAAATATATTAAATTATTATTGGATTATTTAATATAAAAGTGTTTAGATAAATTTAGAATTTTAATATATTTATACTTGAATCTTATCATCATGTAATTAGAATTTTATTTGATAAGGATGTTTGTTAAGAGTCCAATTTAAATTCTATTAAAATTCTAGGTAGATCATTATCACTATCATACCTTTAAGTACCCATATTGTGCACTTTTATTCACACAATTTAGAGAGACAGAAAGAAAGAAAAAACGTATGAAACAAAGAGAGAAAAGAAGAAAGAAAGAGAGAAAAGAAAGAGAAAGAGAGAAAGAAAAGAGGAGATAGAAAGGAAAGGAAAAAGGAATGGAAAGAAAAGAATTTTTTTTGGCATGTTCGAGATTTGTTCGCAAGAATTTTCAATCCTAAATAGTTCAAGTACATAAGGAATTTAACGAATAGTTATAAATTTCTCTAAATGCCCAGTGATTTTGTGCTTTCACTTTTTAATGTTTTAAGTTTAAGTGTTTTATGTGCTATTATTCCAAAGTAAAGAAAGAAGTTGTAAAAAATAACATAGGATATTATTATGTAAATCTACACGGAAACGAGTCACATGGCTAAATACCCTAAGTGGAGATTGAGAATGGGTATGACATAAGTAAGAACGAGGCGGTCAAGTTTCTATCACACTAAGAAAGTTATGTTATTTGTGTATTTTACTTGCTTTTCATATTAAACTGTGAAAATATTGGCATGAAATCTATACTGAGTATATTCATATGCTCATTCCATAATCTTAATTATTTTTACCGATGCTTCATGGATCGGAGCTGGAGGTTGAGAGTGCTGATAGAGTCCGTGTTGGTGGATCAAGAATTTAAGATTTTCTTTCAATATTTAGTTAGAAAACATTTTTTTAATTCAAATTAGAATTTTATTTTATTTTTCTTTTTATTCAAAAATCAAATGTTAAATTTTTAAAAATAAGTGCTAAATTTATAGTATATCATTGGTTTGAATTTCTATGACTTTTTATAAGAGAATAAAATACTTTAGTTTATTCGCAATGCTTCTCAAATATTTTTATATATTACAATTTGCTAATCAAATTTTATAATGGTTAAAGTGATTGATCGAGTATCTTTCGGAGCATAGGTTTCGGGGCATTACAACATGGCATCACAGTCCAGTCAATCTTTCTTTCAAACTTGTAAAATTAAAACTTTAGATTTCTTTATATGTTAAAGTTAAATAAATTTTGATCTACACGACATCGAAACCAGCATGATCAACTTCTAGCTAATGATCTAAGGTATGAAATTATTTTATTAGCTTTAAATGTCCATTTAATGAGTTTTGAATTTTTTTTTTAACATTGCAACAAATTACGATTATGATATTGGATGTTGAAATTTTAATAAATTAGATAAAGTTATTTTATATATAACACTAATTGCAGAATCACATGTTTATAATTTTCATGTAGTATTATCTATTCATGTGTATATCTTTGGAGTGGATATATTTAATTATGCACTACATGCATGCATTTAGATTGACATCAGTTCAGTTATTTTCAAATCAAATGACAAAAAGAAAAAGAAAAACAATAACAATAACAACAATAATAATATTAATTGGGAAACTTATTGTTTGAGTTTTCTTGATTTGCGTATTCACAAGACTGAAAGGTTTTGTCAAAAAGACCTAAACTGCCTAAAGCAAACTTGAGATTTAAGCGGTCCACTTGTGAACTTCTCCTTACCGAGAAGCCTTTTCAGTTGCGTGTTATTCAATCAAGAAAATGAAAAACAATATTGCAAACCCTATATACCCTATATATGAATAGTCAAATCTTAGTTGAAACAATGGGAATATAGTAATTAGAAACAACATTATTTTATCGTCATTGGCTATACCAAGATAGTTGAATTGACTTGAATGGCGTCTAATATACGATCCCGACATTTAAGGTTTAGATGGCAACTAACTTAGCATGAGAGTTATTGGCTATTATGCTAGAGATGTTGCAGCAGCAACCACCTCAACGGCCACGAGGCAGGCCCAGAACATCTTCAATTATAGAATAATTTCACAAGATGCACCCATCCGTGTTTGAAGGTGGCTCCAATCCACTGGCTGCTGAAGAATGACTTCGCCACCTTGAGCATATCTTAAGATTTGTGGAATGCACTAACGTACAAAAAATCCTTTGTGAGGTGTTTATGATGGAAAAGGGAGCAGGTCATTGGTTGGAGGTGACTACTAGATCCCATATTGAGGAGCAACAGCGTAACCTTACATGGGCACAGTTCTAAGAGATTGTACTTCAGAAGTACTTTTCAACTACTTTAAAAGACAAAAAGGTCATGGACTTTCTTGAGCTAAAGCAGGAAAATATGACGCTCACCGATTATGAGCAAAAATTTGAGGAGTTATCTATTTTTGCCCTATACCTGGTGAACACGGAGGAATGACGACCTCAATGCTTTGAGGGCGGACTGAGAACTGACATTAGAAAAGTAGTGTTAGTATTCCAACTAGGTATTTATCAGGGTGTTGAGAAGGCTCAAGTATACACCTTTGATGATGACCAGACTGGTGAAAGTAGTAAGCACCAGATAAGGTCCTTAGACAATTGCAAGTGGTATGATAATAACAAGAGGAATGGAAAGGTTCCAACAGAAGGGAAGGACAAAAATAGATGCCAATATCCGTGACAAGAATCGACGACCCCTTTGTCCTAAATGTCAGAAACCTCATAAAGGAGAATGCTTGACAAGAAAAGGTGTCTGTTACAGATGTGGCAAGCCAAGACACATCGTCGAAGACTGCATTGAGGGACAATCTAAGAAGGCTGAAAATCAAAAAGGTGGGCAAAGCTAGAGTTTTTGCTTTAACATAGGAAGAGGTAGAGCTCGTTTGCAATGTAGTGGCAGGTATCATATTATTCTCTAACATGCCTGCTTTTATATTAATTGATTCAGGAACTACACACTCATTTGTTTCTTCGATATTCTTTTCAAAATCGAATATAGAATGTGTACCCCTTGATAACATATTAGAAGTATCACTATCATCTGGAAAGGTCCTTAATGCAAATTATATAGCGAGGAACCTAAATTTAGAAATGGATGGGAAGATTACAAAAATAGACTTAGTGGTCCTAGACATGAAAGATTTTGATGTTATACTTGGGATGGACAGGTTGTCGAAAAATCATGCAAGCATTTGTTGTTTCGAGAAGGATGTAGTTTTTCAATGACTTTTCATTTCTTTGGAACAAGGGTGAAACCTCTACCCTAACTTATTTCAGTGGTGCATGCTGTACGCTTGTTGAAAAAGAAGTCAGCTCAAGGATTCTTAGTGTCATTGACCAGCACTAATCAGAAGGAGTTAACCATTGACGAAGGCCCATTGGTTAGGAATTTTTTTGATGTATTTCCAAAAGATTTACTAGGAATGCCTCCAAATAGAGAGGTTGAGTTCACTATTGACTTTGTACCTAGTGCCACGCCAATTTCGAAGGCCCGTTGTCGTATGGCACTAGTAGAACTTCAAGAATTGAAAGTACAATTGCAAGAATTACTAGACAAAGGTTTTATTAGACCCAGTGTCTCACCATGAGGGGCTCCAATATTGTTTGTAAAGAAGAAGTATGGATCGATGAGAATGTGTATCGATTATCGAGAGCTAAAACACATTACAATTAAAAATAAATATCCCCTCCCTAGAATTGAAGATTTATTTGACCAACTACAAGTGTCAAGTTCTTCTCGAAAATTGATTTAAGATCAAGCTTTCATCAGTTGAAAATTAAAGCAACTGACGTTCCTAAAACTGCATTTAGAACTATATACTGGCATTATGAGTTCTTGGTGATACCTTTGGCTTGACAAATGCGCTAGCTATCTTTATGGATCTTATGAATCGAGTCTTCCAATATTGTTTTGATCAGTTCGTTATCATCTTCATTGATGACATACTAATCTATTCAAAGAATGAGCATGAACATATGGAACACCTAAGGATTATTCTCGAAATATTGAGGAAGGAAAAGCTCTATGTAAAATTCAAAAAGTGCGAATTTTGGCTCAATAGAGTGGGATTTCTAGGCCACATAATTACAGCCCAAGTAACTGAAGTTGACCCAAATAAAGTGGAAGCAATTAATGATTGGCTTCAACCAACTAATGCTAGAGAAGTACACAGCTGCTTGAGATTAGCAGGTTACTATACGCAATTTATTGAAGGGTTTTCAAAGATTACCATCCCAATGACTCAGTTAACGAGAGAAAATGTGAAGTTTTAATGGACGGATAGGTGCGAACAGAGCTTTCAAGAACTAAAACATAAATTGGTCTCAGCTCCAGTTTTGACCATACGCAAAGGGTCGGAAGGCTTCATTATCTACAGTGATGCATCTAAACAAGGTCCAGGATGTGTACTTATGCAGCATGGTAAAGTTATTGCGTATGCTTCAAGACAACTAAAGTCCTATGAGGAAAATTATCCAACACATGACCTAGAGTTAGCGGTAGTAGTTCATGGACTAAAGATATGGCGACACTATCTCTATGGAGCTAAATGTGATATTTACATGGAGTACAAGAGCCTAAAGTACTTCTTCACCCAAAAGGAATTGAACATGAGGTAACGCAGATGGCTAGAATTGGTCAAAAATTATGATTGTGTCATTCATTATCATCCAGGAAAGGCCATTGTAGTTGTTGATGCATTAAGCAAAAAGACACCAGGACATTTGACAGCTTTACCCACTATATAGAAATCATTAATCAAAGATATAGAATGCTTAGAACTTGAGGTGATCTTAACTCCAGCAGATATTGCAGCACAAATTGCTACTCTCATAGTTCAAACTACTATTTGAGACCGAATTAAGAAACCTCAGGATAATGATCCATTTCTACAAAAGATTAAAGGTGAAGTTGGCACTGGCAAACGAAAAGGCATTGAGCAAGCTGAAGATAACACATTGATGTTTAAAAGAAGATTGTGTGTATCGAAGGATGAGAAAATACGAAAAGAAATATTAAAAAAAGCCCACTTCGCCCCATATGCGGCACATCTCGGGGGAACAAAGATGCATAAAGACCTGCAAAGAACATTCTGGTGGCGAAATATGTAAAGAGAAATAGGTCTATTTGTAGACAAGTGCATGGTTTACCAGCAAGTGAAAGCAGATTATCAAAGACCATCAGCATTATTAAACCCACTAGAGATTCCTGAATGGAAATGGGAGCATATTGCCATGGATTTTGTAATTGGTTTTCCAAAATCAAATAGAGGAAATGATGCGATCTTGGATTATTATTGATAGATTGACAAAGTCAGCTTACTTCTTACCAGTAAAGATAACTTTTAATACGGGTCAATTTGCTCAACTATATGTTAGAGAAGTGATCAAATTACATGGGACCCCATTCTCAATTGTGTCACACAGAGATCCAAGATTTAACACGAAATTTTGGAAAAGTATGCAAAAGGCAATGGCGACTAAGCTAAACTTTAGTACAACATTTCACCCACAGTCACATGGTCAATCAGAGAGGACTATTCAAATTCTTGAGGACATACTTCGAGCATGTGCCCTAGATCTTGGAAGGAATTAGGAAAAAATCTACCATTAGTAGAATTTACCTATAATAATAGCTATCAAACTACCATAGGAATGTCCCCTTATGAGGCTTTAAATGGTAGGAGGTGCAGATCTCCATCTCATTGGGATGAAGTTGCTAAGGGAAGAATTCTAGGGCCTAAGATTATTGAGCGAACAGTCCAGGCTATTGAATAGATTCGTGCTAGAATAAAGATTACCCAAGATATGCAGAAAAGTTATGCAAGTAACAGAAAGAAGGATCTTGAGTTCAAGGTTGGTGATAAAGTTTTCCTAAAAATAGCTCCTATGAAGGGAGTTATTCGATTTGGTAATAGGGGGAAGATCCAACAATGATACATAGGACCTTTCGAGATTTTGAAGCGTGTGGGAACTGTGGCTTACAAGCTGGCATTCCCTCCCGAACTTTCATCAGTACACAATGTCTTTCATGTCTCTATGCTTCGAAAATACATATTAGACCCTGGCCATGTGATTAATCCTAAATCTAGACATTCATCCATATCTAACTTACGAGGAAACCCCAATAGTCATCTTGGATAGGAATATTCGAACACTTAGAAATAGAGATATTCCATTGGTAAAAGTTCACTGGCGAAATCACGCAGTGAAAGAGTCCACTTGGGAACACAAGATAGATATTAAAGCTAAATACCCTCAGCTTTTTGATAATTAATGTAAACTTCGAGGACGAAATTTTTGAAGTAGGGGAGGATGTAATACCCAAAAAAAAATCGTAAAATATATTATGAGGCATAAAATGTGTGAAATTAAATTTTATTATTATTTTGGATATCAATTAAATTATATGATATAAAGTATTTAAATAAGTTTAAAATTTTATCATACTTGAAAATAAGAGTTTTAATGAAATAATAATTTAATATTTAAAAATATATTAGATTTTTATCCGATTATTTAATATAAAGGTGTTTAGATAAATTTAGAATTTTAATATATTTATACTTGAATCTTATCATCATGTAATTAAAATTTTATTTGATAAGGATGTTTGTTAAGAGTCCAATTTAAATTCTATTAAAATTCTAAGTAGATCATTATCATTATCATACCTATAAATACCCATATTGTGCACTTTAATTCACACAATTTAGAGAGACAGAAAGAAAGAAAAGCATCTGAAAGAAAGAGAGAGACAAGAAAGAGAAAGAGAAAGAGAAAGAAAAGAGGAGAGAGAAAGGATAGGAAAACGAAAACGGCAAAGAGAGAAAGAAAAGAAAAAGGAAGGAAAAGAAAAGAAAATTTTTCGGCCCGTTCGAGATCCGTTCACAAGAATTTTCAATCCTAAATAGTTCAAGTACACAAGGAATTTAACGAATAGGTATGGATTTCTTTAGATGCCCAGCAATTTTGTGTTTTCACTTTTTAATGTTTTAAGTTAAGTGTTTCATGCACTATTACATATTCCAAAGTAAAGAAAGATGTTGTGGGAAGTACCATAGGGTATTATCATGTAAGTCTACATGAAAACCAGCCACAGGGCTAATACCCTAAGTGGAGATTGAGAATGGGTATGACCTAAGTGAGAATGAGACGGTCAGATTTCTATCCTACTAAGAAAATTATGTTATTGTGTATTTTACTTGCTTTTTATATTAAACTGTGAAAATATTGGTATAAGATCTATACGAATATATTCATATGCTCATTCCATATTCTTAATTATTTTTACAGATGTTTGATGAATCGAAATTGGAGGTTGAGACTGCTGACAGAGTCTCCGTTGTTGGATCAAGAATTCAAGATTTTCTTTTAATATTTAGTTAGAAGATTTCTTTTTATTCAAATTAGAATTTTATTTTATTTTTCTTTCTATTCAAAAATCAAATATTGAATTTTCAAAAATAAGTGCTAAATTTATAGTTCATCAGTGGTTTGAATTTATATTTTTATAAGACAATAAAATAGTTTAGTTTATTTCGCAATGTTTCTCAATTATTTTTATATATTACAATGTGCCAATCAACTTTAATAATGGTTGAAGTGATTAATCGAGTAACCTCTGAAGCATAGATTTTGGGGCGTTACACTACACGTTACTTAGAACCGCTGAAGAGGGAGATGACAATTGCCGGAGAGATTGCAAACACAATCTCTGCGCTGTGCGGAGTGTGTCGAGACGGTCTCCACACAACACAGACCCCGCGCATTGCGAAGACCACATATATGCACTTCTCTGCCACCCTGTTTTCAAATCCAACTGAATTTATTTTTTCAAATTCAATTGATTTCAGACAAGAAAATAAAAATAAAGTAATCGATAATTCATTCTATATTTCTCATTTGTATTCTCATACGGTGAAAAGTAATAGTGTAACTTACATAAAACCAATCAATGAAACCCATCCAATTTACAAATTTAGGCCTGCAAATCCAATTCGAGATTTCAGTTTTTTTTTTTTAATTTTTGGAAGGAAGAAAGGGAGGGAAAGAAGATGAATGAGAAGAGTAGTGAGGAATGGTGGATTGAGTGAAAAAAATAGAGAAATAGTACTGAATGCCTCATGCCCCCCCAAAATGGGCCAAACACAATATACGTCGTTTTCAGTTAAGGAAATAGAAAAAAAATGGAGGATGGTACATATTTGCGACACGTATATATGTCGGATATGGTGTGATCGCTTAGTATTTCTTGGAACCTAACCAAATGCTTGTGTGATCGCTTAAGGTGGGCTGCAAGTTCATGTTATTGCAACTGTGAAGAAATCAAAGATGGCTTAGCAGCTTTTTTGTCTCAGTCACATTATGGAAAAGATATCAAATCCTCATCTATAGCTCGTAAAAAAATTTCTCAAATACTTCACCTCTCCTCTGTTAAACAGAAATTTACCCTTGTTTGTCTTTCATTTTTTTTTTTTTTCAAACTCGTTTTCAATTATAAATTTCATGGTATACAATTCATTAACCTTTATCTAACTCTATTGAAAGTAAGATTTAGCAAAACTAAATAAAGATTTATATATGAACAATATTGAATAAATTCAACCAAATGGTTGTAAATTCATTAAATTTCATTCTATCGACAGGATGTATATTTTAAAAACATTATTTTTTAAATTATTTAGTAAAATTTAAAGAAAAAGCAAAATGTAAGAGCTGATGGGACGACTTTAAAATCTTTAACTAAATCAACGACAAATGGTGGGGTTGGAGTGTGGCATTTTTGTTTTCTATACATTTTTTTGTGTTTAAGAATGAAGGTAATTGTCTTTTTGTAAAAGAGCTAGTTCTAGTAATTAATACACTAATCATTTGCGTCCTCATTGGATCGGTACTTATCTATCAATCCTGACATTTTTAACCTTATTTCAACCATTTGTGTGAAATCACCTTTTTAGTCCACTGTGGTTTATTTGACTGTTCAAACTTAAAAGGTCCATATTTTTATCCGAATGACTACAATATCCTTAATATTAATTGTTGAAAAAAAAAAAAAAACTGAAGACCAATACTAAAACAAAAACAAAAAACTAAGGAATGGAAAAAAAATATACAAAAAAAAAAAAAAATACAAAACTCCTAACTTTTTAAAATTAAAAAAAAAACGTAGAAAGGAATAAAAATAGAAAAAAGACTGCACGGCAAAAAAAAAAATGAAAAAAGGCTTCATAGATTTATTTATTTTTTTTTTTTTTTGTATATTTTTTTTCCATTCCTTAGTTTTTTGTTTTTGTTTTAGTATTGGTCTTCAGTTTTTTTTTTTTTTTTCTTTCCTTTGTTTTTTTTTTTTTTTTCCATTCCTTAGTTTTTTTTTTTTTTTTTCCGAGTGTTGTAGTAGTGATGGTGTAGTACTTTTACTATTTCAATCCCCAATTTTCAGTCTGTGATGATATTTCTTAATTCTTCCAAGCTCATTGATTGGCTATTGAGATGAATCAACCCGTATCTTAGCGTGGTGATCAGGTGGTATGTGAGTTTGGATTTTCCATTCATATGCAACTGGCGGCGGTAAACCTTTCTGCCAATCGAACAACAGATTTGAGCCTTCTTTCTTCTGAATAACATATTAAAGGCTGCAATTTCCTCTATGATAATTTAGTTATTCAGTTTGATTTCTCATTTAAACCAAAAAATAAATAAATAAATAAATAAAAAGAAAAAAGAAAAAAAAAAGCAGCTGGTTTTTCTTGGATGCATGTTGATGTATTTTCTTTGAAAGAGGTAAATTATCATATATTAAAAGATGTGTCATTAGGAAAGTTCTGCTATGATGTAACAACTTTTGTTATAATAATGTGGCCGTTCAACTTCGATAGACTCAATGGTTGGTTGGTGAGATTGCTTAGGTATATTCTTGATTACAAGTTGATATATTTTATCATCAGGAGATAAATTATCACAAATTAAAAGCTGTCATTATAAAAACTGTGTGGTATGATTAAATAACTTTTGTTATAATAATATGCTCTGATAGCTTAGTATTTCTTGGAAACCTAAAAAATGCTTGTCTGATTGCTTAAGTTCGGCAGCAATCTTTACCTACAATACTGCAGATTATATAGTTCAACTATAGTCCACGAGAATAAGATATCGTATGGAATACGTACTATTAGCGAATGAAAGATAAAACAATAATTGTATCTAATACGACCTGGTATGCTACATGAATATATTGTCAACTTTAAATAAATTTTCTATTACCCACAATATTTTAGATTATATATCTTTATCAGTAATAGAAAGAGCAGAACAAATAACTTAAAATTGTAGAAAGTAATAAATGAGCGAATGAACTTTCAACTGAGGCTTGTGTAAACCCAGTTTCTTTAAAACATATTTGCTCCCTCAAGCACGTAGGTTTGGTTTGAGTCTCTGTTTCTCAGGATACAACAAAAAATCAGTAGAGTCTGAACACTGTAAAAACTGTTCCAGTGAACTGAATTAGTATCTGAACAATATCACCAAAATTGAAAAGAAAAAATTTCGGCCGGATTGAGAGCTATAAAACAAATTGTGCATGTAGGCCATATGTATTGGTTCTCTTGTGTGGAATATGGAAAACGAGTTCTCATAGAGACTTGACCCCGATGAATGGTGAGTTAAACCTGTCCATAAGTATATTATTAAATTATATTATAATGACCATAACTCTTGGAGTTTCAACAATTTTAGAAGTTAAAAGGTCAATTGGAGGGAAAATTTTGACAAAACGTAGGCCCTCTGAAAGGGCCAATTTTGGCCCTTTTGGTTTGATATTTTTGTGCGTAGGTCGCATCCACACACAAGATCAAGATCCGAACCCTATTTTTGTCCATGATTTGCACCCTTGCATGTACACGTGGAAAGAGCCTCTAAGCTATACATGATTACCCCCTTCCAAAGTACAATCCTATATAATGTGGTATTTGCCTTCATTATGTTCCTGTGTGGAACAAACTTTAATTGATTTCCCTCCAACACATAAACTTCTTTCAATTGGCACATTTTGAGCTCCAATTTCGCATTCACCTGAATATCATTTTTGACAAGTAAATATATGATTTCGATGCTCTCACGGAGAAGAACACAAATCAATCTTGATCTTCCAAGATAAAAAATCGGATCCCACTCAAAATTTATGCCAAATCAGCCATTCAATTAATTTTTTCCAACAACAATTTCATGTTATTGCAACTGTGGAGAAATCTAAAATGACTCATGCCGCTGTTTTTTTCTTTTTCTTTTTTAATCTCTCAATCAAATTCTGGAACAGATATCAAATTCTTATCTATAGGCTCGAAAAAAATTTCTCAAATACTTCACTTCTCCTCTATTAAGAGAAATTTCATGCATGTTTGCTCATCTTTTTTCTTCAAACTCATTTTCAATCAAACATTTATGTTATCGCATTTTTTATTAATTTTTGAACCACATAATTCATTAACTTTTATCAAATTCTACTAAAAATATGAATTTTTAGCAAAACCAAACAGAGGCTTATATATGTAAAATATTGAATAATTCAGCAAAATGGTTGATGAATACATTAAATTCCATTCTATTGACAAGATGCATATTACACAAACATTATTTTTAAATTCTTTAGTATAATTTGAAGAAAAGGCAAAAATCCAAGAGCTAACAGAACGGATTTGAAATCTTTACCTAAGTCAAGTGGTGGTTGGACCGTTGGAGTGTGGCATACATTTTTCTTTTTTTTGTTAAATCACTTTTTTTATCCGCTATGGTTAATTTGACTTTTAAAGGTCTATGTTTTTATTGCAAAGACTACAATATCTTTAATTTTAATTGTTGGAAAAAAAAAACAATGGCCCCCTCCCAAAAAAAAAATAAAAATAAAAATAATTAAGAAAAAAAAAAGCACTATGAAGCTTTTTTCGTTTTTTATTTGCAGTGAAGTGTTTTTTCTATTTTCCTTTATTGGATTTATATTTTTGTATTATTTTAAATAAAGTTAGAAGTGTTTTTTTGTCAAAATATTAGCCTTTTAATACTTAAATAAATGATCATCTAACAAAATTAGTGATTTTTGCGGTAAAAGGTTGAAATGATGTTAAGAATGTCAGGATTGCAATACTATTTAACAATTTCCTCAGGAACCCAAAAGATAAGTGGAGTTGTGGAAATTAGCTGTTAACTAAATGGATTTCGTCAACCAAGAACTATGGTGCATCAGAAATGGTATGTTGATGATGTGAATTCTAAAAGAAATAGAATTAGGACATGTTTTCTATTAAGTGTATAGATCTGTACTAAAGATGCAATTTCCCCTATGGTAGTTTAGTTATTCAGCATATGTTTAATTTTGTCAAAATTAGTTTGTAAATAGTGAATTTTTGGCGAATATGTTGTTAAAAGTTTTTGGATTGAAGTGCAAATTATTTTATCGTGAGAGTCTATGACTGATAATGAATTTGGGGAAAAATGAGTTTTAGACAATGATAATTTTTCTTGAATACAAGTTGTTATATTGTAAGAATAAAAATAATCTGGGATGATGTAACCAGTTTTGTTATAAGATAATGTGGTTGTTCAACTTTGACAGACTCAAAGTGGTGTATTTCCTTGGAAACTAAACAAAAAGCTTGTATGATAGCTTAATACTACTTTCGTGCTCCTACACGAATATCCATCCCTTTTTTCTCTCTGCACTCTTCTTCATCTCTTCCCTCTACTCAACTCCTCCACCTCCACCTCCCAGAACCACCACTTGTTAAGGTGGGCTGCAATTTCGTGTTTATCCATCCCTTTTTTCTCTCTGCACTCTTCTTCATCTCTTCCCTCTACTCAATTCCTCCACCTCCACCTCCCAGAACCACCACTTGTTAAGGTGGGCTGCAATTTCGTGTTATTATCTCTCAATCAGATTCTGCGAAGAAATCAGAGATGGCTTATGCTGCTGTACTGTCTCTCAGTCAGATTCTGAAGCAGATATCAAATCCTTATCTCAAACAACATCAGACTCCTCTTCAGGACCAACAAATTAAATCTCTCCAGGAAAATTTGAAATTCTTACTAGATTTTCTGGATGACTCTTGGCAGAGAAGGAGCGAGGAACTACGATGTTTTGAAATGGAAATTCGAGATGCAGCATACAAAACTGAAGATATCATGGAATCCCAAATATCAAAGAATTTTGGTCAGGAAAGTTTTCATGAAAGACAAATCAGAGACCAAACTTCTTGTGAAAACTTCGTGATAGTAGCAGATGAAATTGATTCCATTAAGACGACGGCTGCTAAGCTTAAGGAGTTGTGGGGCTCAACAGATCTGTACCACAGCAAGATGACTTCTTTGCCAACCGGACAATCAAGACTTGCTTCAAGTGGCAAGAGTGCTATGGTCGGGTTTAGTGATGATATGATTCAAATAGTGGATCGACTTACTGGATATCCACCTTCTCTTGAAGTCATCCCTATTATTGGCATGGGAGGGATTGGCAAGACCACACTTGCTAGAAATGTTTACAATGATCCACGTACTAAAGGCCATTTTCACATTTGTGCCTGGGTATCAATTTCTCAAGAATGTCGTGAGCGAGAAGTCTGGCTGAGCCTTCTGGATTCCATGGAACAACTCAGTACTGAAATGCATCAAGAGAAAAATACTGAAGAATTAAAAGAGTATCTATATAAAAGTTTGAAAGGTAGAAGGTATCTTGCTGTGTTGGATGACGTTTGGACTACCGAGGATTGGCATTCTTTGAGTAGGATATTTCCAGATGACGGGATTGGAAGCCGGATCATTTTGACAACACGGCTGTTGAGTGCGGTTGACTCCCATAGCTCTCCCCATCATATGCAATTTCTAAATGAGACTGACAGTTGGAATTTACTTCGTCGGGAGGTGTTTGGGAAAGATTCTTGCCCTGTTGAACTGGAGAAAGCTGGAAACGATGTTGCAAAGAATTGCAAAGGACTTCCACTCTCCCTTGTGGTGATTGGCGGCCACCTTTCAAAAGCCAACAGGACAAAAGAACACTGGGAATATGTTGCACAAAATGTCAAGTCGGTTGTAAATGCAACAGATCCAAACTGCTCAGACATACTATCTTTAAGTTTCGATTACTTGCCTCATTATCTCAAAGCATGCTTTCTCTATATGGGAATTTTTCCAGAAGATGATGAAATCCGCGTCTCCAAACTCGTCAAGTTATGGGCTGCAGAGGGATTTCTAAAAGCAGCCAGAGGTAAAACCTTGGAAGAAGTGGCAGAGGAATATTTGGGAGATCTAATTTCCAGAAATCTTATTTTGACTCGTGAGGAGAGTTCTAGTGGAAAGATAAAAACCTGTGGCATCCATGATCTGTTAAGGGACCTATGCATAAGAAAAGCCCAGCAGGAGAAGTTTTTTCATGCCACTGTCGCAGATAAAGATTTCAGAATCTTTGCTGAAGGCAGAAAGTATTCACGTCGCCTTTGTATTCAGCCAGATACTTCAAATGCCAATCCGTCCATGGAATCCTTGCGACAAGTCCGTATTCAGCCAGATATTCGGCCAGATACTTCAAATGCCAATAAATGAGAAGGATTTAGTTCTAGGAAACCTTTTAACTTTGGCAAAAGTGAGTAGCTCAAGCTGTACCAAGGAGGTCTTCGAAAGAGTTCCAAATCTAAACAAGTTAGGAATTTTGATTGAATATTTGGTATTCACACCCTTTTCTTTAGGTAACCTGGTTAATCTTCCTCAACTTGAGACCCTGAAAATCTTAGGTGTATGTGATTGTGTTAGTGACCTGATTAATTTCATTTTCCCACCAAATATCAAAAAATTAACCTTAAAGCATTGCAGAATTCCTTGGGAACATATAACTATAGTTGGTAAAATGCCCAATCTTGAAGTACTCAAACTGTATAATAATGCCTTTGAAGGGCCAAAATGGGAGCCAACCAGTGGAGAATTTTGCAAACTAAAATTTCTGCTACTTCAGGAATTAGATCTAGTGCAATGGACAGCTGATCACACTCCCTTCCCAAGCCTTGAGCGCCTAATTCTTAGGCAATGTTTCAAATTAGAGGAGATCCCATGTAGTATTGGATATATAACAACACTTCGAATTATTGACTTGGATGATGCTAGCACTTGTGCTGTGAATTGGGCAAAGCAAATACAAGAAGAACAAGAGAACTGGGGAAATGATAGCCTTAAAGTTCATTTCTTTCACCAGTTCTGGTTATTCCGTCTAAAGGTAAAAATTATACCTCGAGCCATACTCACTACCGCATATATCTCATCATTTCTCTATCTCAAGAAAAATTACAGGTCTCTGTAATGAAATTTTAGCAAGCATGACAATTCTGAATTTTTTTTTTTTTCGGTGCATGTTTTACTAATAAAGAAAATAAACGTAAAATTTAGAAGGAGGTCCAGCTGGACCAACAGTTAAAGGTACCCGAAAAATACACTTATCTTATATGAAGACCGATAATACAATATGAAAGCTAAAGAACTATACTTCATGCGCCTCGTCGTAATCCTCATCATCATACGTTGAGGTAGTCCTGCTCATGGTCACTTTTGTACTCACTACTTGAAGGAGATTTTATAAATTTATTATTATACCAACGTCCAGAAAGTCCATATCTTTCTCACATTCTTCCTATATATTCAAAAGCGTCCCTAGCATATTCCCTCTCTCTTGGATCGAAAGGTGATGCCTCCGCTCTGACATCATAACTCAGCAACTGCCACCTTCTGCAAGCATGAATTGCACTGCAGCTTATATCTACAATTTGACCACATTTACTTTAGTTACAGAAGTACAAAAAGAAGTTCGAATTTTCTTTTGGCTACCAAATTTGAAAGAAAAGAAGTGTGATTTATCGTATAATGAAATAGTTCTTGCAGGTAAGTAAATATGTGGGGCAAATTTAATTGAGTAGAACTAGTGTATGGAAACTGTTATATAAACTTCATTATTAATTTCTTCCAATTGTAACAGAGAAAGGAAGTGGAAGCTAAAATATGTGGGTCAAATGATGACACACAGCTACTCGAGGCCATAGCTCTGTTTAGCTCAATGCTTATAGTTGGTAATCAATTAATCTACCCTTATTGAAACCAATTAATACTGTTCACACTATTGTTCTCTTATCCATTTGCTTTCAATTAATTTGTTTCCACAGATAAAATCTCTTGGACTAAGGAACTAGCATCTCGAACTGTTCTTCGACTCTTTGAGTTTCTTGATAGAGATGATAACCCACAGCTTCAGGTTTAAATTTGTGCGACTAATTGCTTCTTCTAGCTTATTTCATGTGTTTCAATTGCTAAATAGATTGATTTATTCATTTTTATAGCATCAGGCAGCATTGGCTATAACAAGTATTTCAAATTATTCATCTGACGCCATCAACATCCTGATTGATCATGGCACAACTTCCATTTTCGTGAGCCTTCTTAGTTCTCCTAAGGATGATCTTCTTCAGCAGGTAGGCGTTGTGTTTGATTTTATCATAAGTTTACAATATCAGTTAAACAAGTAATAAAGTAGAGCTAAATGTGTGGATTATCATTTCCATGAGAACCTCTTGATTAAATAATAAAAAATTGTGACAATTTAGGGTTCTACTTGATGTACGAAAAGTGTTACGATTGAATATTTCTCTGTTGTCATCCCCTTAATTTCAATTGCCAAATTTCAAAAATAATTAATTATGCGTACCTGGTCAAATTCTTCTAAATTAATTGATTTATGTCTCACGAGTTCAGATCAATGCTACTTAATTAAGTCAAGCCACTATGTCTCTATGTGAATCAAGATAACCTTAATCAGGAGAATTCAAAGAATTCGATTAATGAGTGCTTTTTTACCATTATCTGGAAAAACAAAAAACATCATACAAACTAACACAATAAAAATAATGACTACACCCCATACTTGAAGTACGCATTGTCCTCAACATGAGCAATCAATAAGTCTAAAGAAATGTAACAACAATCGCCTTGTCAACTACTAAGGATTTTCCTTTAGACCTTGGTCTTTATCATTTTTTTTGTCTCATTTGTTAGAATTACGGTGTGACCCTAATTCTAGTTTTGAAGGTATATTGAAGTTGGTTGTTTAGTTTAGAGAAGTCATAAAGAAGTACAAGACAACAAGGAGTTAAAGTAGTCAAAAGATGGACCAGGGAGAAGAAAAGTTGCCAATAAACCGATCGTTTATCGCTCACTAGGTTATCATGAGTGAGCAGGAAGGTAATCGCTGGCTAATCGCCAGGTTGCCACTCAAGTGCTCATGACACCTCTAGCTAGGAGCTAGCGGCTAATGCTTGAGTGGTAGTATTATCCAGAAAGGGTCTTAATTTTGATAATTTTTGAACTCCTATTCAACTTCTAACACTTCGTTATTGGTTTTACCTATTATAGTAGGACTTCACCTTTTTTTAGACTCTTCTAGTAATATAAATATGAGGGTAATGCCTTTTGGGATATCCATAAAACATAGTGTAATCTCTGTACTTTTGATTATAGTGAATTTTCCTCCTCTGCTCGTGTTTTTTTTTTCTAGTTGGATTTCTATGTAAATCTTTTGTTCTTGCGATACTTTTCATATTGCCTATTATCTTGTTTTGAATTCATAGCAAGTGATATTAGAATGAGGTTTGATCAACTCAAAACGAGGTTTGATTTTCGACATGGCAAGTATGACGTTTGATATTTCGCTTTTGGATCCCGATTTCAGATTTTCGTTGTGGTGGGTTAAGATGTGAGTAGTGCTCGACCAGTTAGATTTAGATGATGCCTTGTTAAGGTTTGATAGAATGCCCTCAACTTAGATGCTTGAGGAAAAACGACGTAAGGATCGATAGGCCCTATCTTAGATACATTTTTAACTTTCGAATCAGATTCTTTTGGACATTCTAAAGGAAAATTTTGTCGCTAGGTTATGGTTGAAATTTGAGCAGTTATTCATGATGCGAAGTATAGACAACAAATTGCATCTAAAGAAGGGCAGAAGGAAGATCTTTGGAAGTTCATTTGGCCATATTTAAGGAAATTACTGATGACTTGGAGATCATGGAGGTTATATACAATGAAGAAGACTTAGGGTTGATTTTGTTGGGTTCGCTGTTGTTTTCCTATGTGAGCTTTTGAGATATTATTTTTTATAATCATGATGCTCTTATCATTTATGAGGGATACGAGACGTATTCTAAAGAGAAGATGAAGCAACAAGTGGTTAGATCAAAGACTTAGACAGATGGTCTTGTTGTTCATGGAAGATCTCGTAAAAATTCTATTGATGGTTCTATGAGGGGTAGATCGAAGTCAAGATACAAAAATAAAATCTGTAATTATTGGAAGAAGAAGAAACATATCAAGAGAGCTACTACAAGTTGCAGAATATAGAAAAATTAACTGCAACTGACCATAAAGGTCAACGACCAAAGAACTTAGGTGAAGCCAGTGTTGCACAAGATAAATATAGTGACGGATAACTTTTGGTAATTTCTAACACGACTCCAAACTTGACGATGAATGGATTCTTGATATAGCTTGCACATTCTATATGTGTCCCAATTTGGATTGCTTTTCAAGATTTGAAACAATTTTGAGAGGTTCCTTAATAATAGAAAATAATTCATCTTGTAAGATAGCTGGTATTAGTGAAGTCGAAATTGAGATTTTCGATGGAATTATTAGGATACTTGGTAAAGTAAAACATGTTCTAGATTTGGAGAGAAATCTTATCTCCTTGAGTACTCTTGATTCAAAAGGGTACATGTTCACTACTGCAGGTAGAGTTCTAAGGGATAGTAAAAGTGCCCTAGTTGTGATGAAGGGGCAAAAGATTCCTACTCAATTGTATGTTTTTTGGGGGTTTGACGAATGTAATTAGTAGGAATTAGCAGAAATGAAATACATAGGTGGACTTTGTGATAGGGTCAGAGTCTAGTTTAGAAGTAATGGGTAATAATTCTTTGCCACCACCTATGATACCATGTTATTCTATTACGAATGACAGATCTAGAAGAAATATTAGGCATCCACAGAAGTATGCAACGCTAATTAGGTTACGTATGTACTGAATATTGCTGATGACATTGATTTCAGTGAAGAACCATTTACATATTTAGAGACAATTAGTTTTGATAATTCAAGTAGATAGATGATTGCTATGCAAGCAATTGAGAGTTAGTGAAATTATCTCTAAGGATAACAAATTTGTTCGTGGTAAGTGGATTTCAAAACTAAGGAAAGCATAGGAGGAATGGAAGAAGCCAAGGATAAGGCTAGACTCGTCACGAACTAATATAGTCAGATTTCAGGTGTAGACTTTATAGATGCATTTTTCCAGTTGTAAAGCATAGTTCGATTCTGGCTTTACTTAGCATAGTGGCTAAACATGACTTTGAGCTTGAGTAGATGAATGTAAGGATAAAAACTTGATAAGGACATCTACATGTAGTAGCTTGAGGGATTTATGGTTATAGGAAATAAGGACTATGTATGCTCATTGAAGAAATCTCTTTATGGCCTGAAACGATCGTCTAGATAGTAGTATAAGAGGATTAACTAATTCATGACTACTCGTGTCTTCAACAGAAATAGATATGATAGTTGTGTATACTTTAAGAAGTATGGTGATGGGTCGTTTGTTTGTTTATTCTTATACGTTAATGACATGTTGTTAGCTACTAAGGATAAGGGAGAATTAACAAAAATGAAAGCCCAGCTTAGGAGCAGCGAATAAGATGCTTTGAATGGAGATCTAGAGAGATAGAAAGTGAGGCAGGTTACAGTTAAGATATAAAGGGTACATTGAGAAAGTTGTGTACAGGTTCAATATCAAGGATGCCAAACCTTTCAGTACATTTTCAGCCACTTACTTTAGACTTTCATCTGTTTATATGCAGATGAAGAGATTGATTATATTTTATGAGTTCGATATTTCTATGCAGTTGGATCCCGTATGTAAACTATGGCTTGTTCTTGTCTGAACTCATCGTTTACCGTGAGTATTGTGAGTAGATATGTGGAAAAACTAGTAAAGAACATTGGAAAATAGTCCAATAGATTTTGAGATACTTTCAAGGCTCCAGTAAAGCTCGTTTGCATTTTCGGAGAAATACAGGCGAAGTTATTGGGTATGTTGATTCAGATTTTATTGGAGATCTTGGGAAAGAAGATGTTTTACAGGTTATGTTTTTGCCATTGCAAGTTGTGCTATCAGTTGAAAAGTTATTTTACAGATTATTGTAGTATTTTCTATCACAGAAGTTGAGTACATGGCTATTATGGAAGCTTGTAAGGAACCTATTTGGTCAAAGGGATTATTTGATAAAAAGATCTATACTTTAATACAGTCTTTGGTGATAGCCAAAGTGCTATGTTTCTAACAAAAGATCAGATATTTCATGAGAGGATGAAACACATTGATGTGCGCTAACACTTTTCGCGTGAGGTTATTACTCATGGGGACATTGTTGTGTGCAAAGTTGGTACCTAAGACAATTCTCCAGATATGATCACTAAGTTACTCCCTATATCCAAGTTTTATTGATACTCAAATTTGATTGGCATCTACTGAGTTTGCCCTAGTTGGGCTTTGTGGAAGAGGTGGAGAGTTTTATTTTGAGATTTTGTTGAAGAGTTAAGTTTTATTCCTTGTAGAGGAATTCATCTCCAAGTGGATAATTTTTGAAGTTTCGTTCATTACAGTGAAATTCCTATCAAGATGGAGATTTGTTAGAATTGTAGTATGTCACGAATTCTAGTTTTGAAGGTGTGTTAGAGTTTGTTGTTTCGTTTGGGGAAATCTTAAAGAAATACCAGACAACAAAGAGTCAAAGTAGTTAAACGATGGGCTAGGACGAAGAAGTCGCTGCAAACCCATTCTCTAGCAGCTCACCAGCTCCTTAGCACAAAAGTAGGAAGGTCATCGCCTGCTAATCATCAGTGGCTGCTTGAGCGGTCGCGGCACCATTAGGCTGCTGCTGGAGCGGCGGTGTCATCTGTAAAGATAGGAATTCTTGATTTTGGCAGTTTTTGGATTCCTATTGAACCTCGAACACTCTATTATTGATTTTACCTATTGTAGTAGGACTTCACCTTTTCTTAACTCTTCTAATATGGTAATGCCTCTTGGGATATCCATCCAACATATTGTAATCTCTTTACTTTTCATTATAGTGAATTCTTATCCCCTGCCCACGAATTTCCCCCAATTGGATTTCCACATAAATCTTGTATTCTTGTGATTAATTTTTCATATTACCTATTATCTCATCTTTAATTCATAACATCCTCTGCTCTTATCAGCTTGTTTCATAGAACATTTTCATCTTACCTAAAGAGAGAAAAAAAATAATTACAAATAATCATGTGAGAGTTTAGGCTAATTTAATTTCTAATGGTTATATAATCTACTTAATGACCTTATACTAAGCCTATACAAAAACAAAAACTCGAAATTAAATTTGAATTA